GGAGGGTCAGTGCTGAGGGAGAGCCTGACTTTGAACCATTGTGTGCCCACAGTTCCCCCTGTTGGTGCTGGAGTAGTCTCAGGAGCAATCATTGGTACCTTCCTGGGCATCATTCTGCTGGTTGTCGGTGGATTGTATCTGTTCCGATACATCGTCAGGAGGCGGGCTAGGAGTGAGACCATTTTCTTCAAAGGAGCCAGGTGAGTCAGGGAGAGAGAGACACACACAGAGACAGAGACAGAGAGACAGAAAGACAGAGAGAGACAGACAGAGAAACACACACACAGATAGAGAGAGAGAGAGAGACAGATAGACAGACACACACACACAGACAGAGAGAGAGGGAGACAGACAGAGCCCAAGGGAAGAAAGCGTGCGAGAGAGGGAGAGACAGACAGATCGAGATAGACCGAGGGAACACAGTGTGTGAGAGGGCAAGACTGTGAGGGAGACAGATTGGGAAGCGAGTATGTGAAAGAAAGAGAGAGAGACGGGGGAGACACAGTAAGAGAGAAGAGAGTGAGAGAGGGAAGAAAGGGGCTCAGAGATACAGATAGAGAGACATGCAGAAAAACTGAGAGAGAAGGGATATGCGAGATACAGAAATAGAGAGAACGTGTCAGGGGCAGGGTTGGAGAAGGGAAGTGAAATAAAGAGAGAGTTGAGAAGATAGAGACATACATATAGAGTGTTCATGAACGAAAGACACACAGGAGAGATGGAGAGGCAGAGCGAAAGACAGACAGGAAGAAACAGAAGGACATCGTGAAAGAAAGATGGAAAGAGAGAGGGAAGAGAAAAAGATAAAGACAAAAAAAGACAGTGACTTTGAAAAAAGTAAGATAAACAGACACTGAAAGTGAGCCATAGAAAAGTAGAGGTTGAGAGGCAGACAAACCAAGAGAGAAAGAAGGAATGGAAACTGAGAATAAACTGGGTATCCATTATTGTAATATATAAACTGGGTATCGGTTATTCTGTATATATTCTGTATATAAACCCACCCTGAACCCCTCGATTAGATTCCAGTCTGTAACTCACTCC